GTGTCTTGAGTATTCTTTTGTTATTATAGACTTATATTGAGTATCATTCATTCTTATCAAAGTTGGAGATAAAGTAGTATTTCTAGTTGTTAGTGGGTGGACGATTAATGGTAGATATTTGTTTTGGTTAATTGATAAAGTCATTGTCATTTGAATTGATATTAGGATGTTTGGTTGTTGATTTGAGACAGGGAAGGTTTTGGGATAGTCCAAAAACAGGGAAAACTTTATCCGATTTTCTGTAAAATACCGATTAGGCTTACTTGGGGGCACTTGCTCCTAAGTGCCGGTCATGATCCTGAATTGGGTCGTGACATCTCCCTTTCTCCTTTTAGCTTTAGTCATTCGAGTATCTTATTCGAACATTCTGAACTCATTCCTGCCTTTGCAATACCAGCGCTTACTTCGTTTCAGGCCATGTTATTTAGTCTTATAGAACTAAACTCTTAGATGCAGCATGCTACCGCCTCCATCCATCGACACATTCGCCCCAGATCCACGCTTAGTCGCATTGTTCACCTTAGGAGCCGCGAGGTGCTGTCATATCAAGCCCAAGGTTCGTTCTACTGCTGTAAAATTTCTGCCATTTACACGTCTTGATGGGGGGTTTTCTTGCAACGATCTTCGTTTCTTCAGGAATGGTGGCGGCCAATTGGTGTTATGAACTTATAAAATCTGATGATCGATTCGATTCCATAATTATAAGTTCATTCCATGCCGAAATAGGATTAAAGTTTTTTTCCTAAATTAACTGGCCCACACTTCGGCTACTAATAATGGGATAAGACCTTTTCTCCACGGTAGAAAAAAAAAAAAAAAAAAGGAAAGAACAACATTTTCAGCACATTTATCCGAAAAAGTCAACTTTTATGAATTGGAAAAATGGGGGATAAAAAATTCCGTAAGTTTTCTTATTCACAATGGCTTTATCCCGACACCAGGCAGACTGAAAATAAGGCCACATCTCTTTTAATATAAGATGTTTGTTTAATATATTTTTTTCTCGTAGAAGTGTAGAGTATATGGCCCTTTCCGAATTGGGAATGAATTACTGATTTGAGAATTAAACTAACTCAGGCTTTTATTTTGTGAGCATGCATGTCATTTTATCATGAGGAACTTTAATTGGTGCATTGCTAGTTAATTTAAAGTATTGGGTGTGATTCATAAAATTAAAGAACTTGTCAGTATGTGTATAGAGTGGCGGAGCCACATGCACCCAAGGGGTAACCGACANATATATATATATATATAAGTTGCCTAAGAAAATTGGCCCATGTACATAGGGCTTTTGGAAGAAGAAGAAGAAAGTTTAAGTGTTAACATACATAACAATCAAAAAATTAATTTTATGTGCCCAAAATTAGATGTTAAAATTTAGAAAATTCAAAACTATTATAGAATTATTAACTAAGTAGTTTATACATTCTAACTCCTGAATTTCCTACATCATTTCTACTTTTTTTCTTTTCTATTGATTGGAAGAGAATCGCAACTTGAAGTTCTTTCGCAGGATGTATTATTGCAAAACTTAATCCTTTAAAACGAAAAAAGGAAAGAAGTTTACTAATGCTTTACGTTTAAACTTTAAACACCAACAAACAAAATCAAGTTACGCAGATAAAGTAAATTTTAGGATTTAACAATTGTCGGATCCTTTACCACGTCGATAAAAGTCTCATCATTCGTCTACCTCTTTTTTAAAAAATTATATTATAAGCAATAATATATATAGAGGCGGACCCATAATTTAAATTTTATAAATTTCTATAACGAATCAAATTAATATATAATAATAATCGAATTATCGGTCAAATATTCATAAATATTAGTAAGTGAATTTCTTGGCCAAAAATTAGTATATAGGTTCCTATAAAACCATATGTTATACTCTAGATCCGCCTCCAAATGTATGCAACATTTCACATAAATGGTATCGGCTTATTTTCATAATTCTTGTAATGTGTTTCACATTTATTTTAAATAATGAGATGTGGGATAACCATTAAAAGTTGTGATGAGGTGTTAAGTATTCATTCATCATTAATTAGAGATGAATCCAAAGTTTGAGAATAAAATAGTTTTTGATAGAGTACGTTTTATCCTCAAAATAAGACTTAGATTTGAGATACCGGGTGTAAAACCCCAAAAAAATAATTTGGGGTCTTTTAGTGAAAATTGTGTTTCAAGATCTTTATATAAAGAAGATACATAAAAATAAAAAATTGTCGTCTAAGGTTTCTTTCTTATTACATCTTGTTTATTTTAATCTTGAGATTTTGGAATGTTCTTTTGTTTGCCGCATAAGTGAACTGTTTTTGATAACAAAATTATAGCTTCGACTTATTTTCCTCTTATTTGAGCAATTTCATGATATAGAGTACGGTAATAATTTCTTCTTGGTTTAATACCAGCTCAAATTCGAATATCTTATTAAAACTGGTAAGATAATTTATTAGGAAAAATAAATCAAATGAAGTGACTAAAATATATATTTTAGAAAAATAGGACCAATTTCTGTAATCATAGATTTCAACAACATATTCGCCGTTTACCTAATAAAGTCAAAAAAATGAATCATTAGATATAATTATTTTTGTGTCCGTTTAGTGACCATCACTATAACTAATGTTTCCAAGTGTCTCACGCTCTTTGCCTAAAGTTTAAAAAGTACCCATCAATTTCACACTATTTGGTTTTCAAAATTACATCATATCATTTGTGCCCAACCCCATTTGAAAAAAGCAGCCATCCTTAATCATAAAATATTTCACGTTCACGTAAAATTCGTAAAAAAGGCGGCAAGGATGCAATAGAAACAGTCTACCCTAATGCAAGTGTTATTGACTAATTCGTTATCGAACCGCGATACGAAGTTCCTTACCTTAGCTGAATCTCGTTGGTGCCACCTAACGGTAGGTAGGCGGCAGATGTGTAACTTTTGAAGTTGTCGTTCGTGCACTTGTCCCGTAACATATAGGTCATATAAAGACAAATTTATCATGTCCAACCCAAATGTAAGGAACAAAAGTAAAAATAAAAAGCACAACATTAATGTCAAATTGTCACATAATTTCACATTGCTTACTAAAAGAAGGGACATTGAAGTAATTTCACAGAATTTAGCCTCTATAAAAATCACACTTCAAAAAATTCCAAGTTCTATAACTCAAGAAAAAATGTATCCAAAACTTCTTGTTTTGGTACTCACTAACTTCTACATTATTTGCTTACTAGCCTTGGCCTCTGACCCTGACCCTGTCCAAGATTTTTGCATACCAAACACAAGAAAATCAAGGTTCAATTTTTCACCATGCAAAAATTCTAAGTTACTAACACCTGATGATTTTATATTTTCCGGCGTAAAATCGCCGGGAAATTTCTCCGATACCGGACTCGCGGCCGTGTCGGTAAACCCCTTAATATTTCCAGGACTCAACACGTTAGGAATGTCATTTGTACGTGCTGATTTGAAGATTGGTGGTATAAATCCTCCTCATTTTCACCCTAGAGCTACAGAAATTGCTTACATTTTACGTGGCAAAGTTTATTCAGGTTTTGTCGATTCGAATAATCGAGTTTTTTCTAAGGTAATTGAACAAGGAGAGGTCATGGTTTTTCCTAGAGGACTAGTACATTTTCAGATGAACGTAGGAGAAATTCCGGCGACGATTTTCGGGTGTTTTAACAGCCAAAATCCAGGCAATATGAAAATTCCAGCAACTATTTTTGGTTCTGGAATTAATGATGAGCTTTTGGAGAAGGTTTTTGGATTAAGTCTTAAGCAAATTGCTGCAATTAGAAGGAAGTTTTTTCCTAAAAAGACAAGGTAAAGTGTGAAGGGCTTTATTGGTCTTCTTTGGATATTAAATAGAAAATTGTTTAAGCAGTTGGTTGAGCGACTATTTAGATTAATTCTTCTAATAATTACTCGGATCTCTTTTGAATAAAGAGTTTCCTGAGAATTGGTTGAGATGAAGGATAAGTTTCCCTTTTTGTTATTTTTGTAATTTGTTTTCGATTACCCTTTTTTTTTGGCTTATGAATTATTTTTGTTTGTTATTGTCCTTAAAAAGAACTGTAGTGAAATGATTTATGACATATTCTTTGTGTTGGTACTTTACAACTAGGTCTTTCTGCAATATTCATAGTTTAGAACATTTTTCTCAGTTTCTTCGTATCTTATTTTTCGAATCTTATTTTTCGATTTTTATTATTGCCTGTTGTTACCCTTGCTTCGGTTGCCTTATTGCTTTGCTATTTGTTATTGTTACTGTTCTTGTTTTTATTAGCCTCAACATGGCTGGCTTCTTCACTACTGATTTTCTTTTTCAAAACTGTTGAGAAATGCTTTTCTTGAGTCGAGTTTCTTCTAGAAACAACCTCTTCTTCACTACTGCTTTTCTTTTTCAAAACTGTTGAGAAATGCTTTTCTTGAGTCGAATTTCTTCTAGAAACAACCTCTCTACCTTTACGAAGTAGGGGTAAAACCTGAGTACACTATACCCTCCCTAGACTCCACACTATACTGATTTTTTTTGTTGTTGTTATTCTCTTTTCTTGAAGCTTAGATACTTCTGCAAATTATTTGTAAAGAAAATATATGCAAGTCATTTTATTTCTTCTAATCAACACTACTTATTTCTTCAAGACATGCCACATCACCATTCTCCATATAAAATCATATTTATTCACAGTAACAAAAAATTTACACTATCAGTGTAATATAACGGTTGAAGGGGAGCCTTGGAGCAACGGTCAAGTTATCTCCGTGTGACCTATAGGTCACGGGTTCGAGCCATGGAATCAGCCACCGATGCTTGCATCAGGATATGCTGTTATAATACATTCTCTTGGGGTGCGGCCTTCCCTCGAAACTTGCATGAACGCAGAATACTTTGTTCTGCCTTTTAGTATAATATAACTGCTATAATAAGTTATTACTTTATCTGAATTATTTATAATACTTGTTATGAAATGCAGTATATTGTGACACCATGTTTTTCCCCACATCCCATCAAGAGTAGGGAAACATATCAAAGGCAAAATATGTTTAATATCACTATCACTGATTACAAAGGAGCAAACAATGGTAATACAAAATATATTCTCTAAGTCAAAACTTTGACATCAATATATGAGACTGAAATGAAGGATAAAACACAAGATATATAGGCAAATAAGACACATCATGACGGGCAGGATGAAACCTCGCGCAACAATAAGAATGATCAGTCTACCCAGTTAAAAGCGCCTTGATGATTTTGACTCCCATTCCGTCAAGCATTGGGACTAAGTGACCAGAACCTGGAATTTCATGATATTTGATCCACGGCAACTGCTGTGCGATATACCTTTGTAGTATGACAGGTGAGAGCTTATCCTCGTCGCCTTGCCACAAGTGAACAGAACCTTCATTGTTAGGAAATGGGTTCTCAATATCCATCGGGTCAAATTCCCATGCTCCGAAGCTAATCATCAAGTCTCGGTGGAGGGACTCGTATTCTCCTTGTTGTCTTATCTGGGACTGAAGTGTCACCGGACAATGAGTAACAGAAACAGTGGAATTTAAGAGAGTAGTTTGATAACCGCAAAGAGAATGAAGACTCTACAAAACCACAAAGAGAGACCAGAACAAAGCAAATTACAAAAATGTACACATGTTTGGCCATTTAGCGTAATCTCAATCAGTTTCTGCACTTGACAGCATAGTATAGAAAACGAGAACCAAACATGAGAAAATGAGCAGAAATAAGCAACTTACCGCTTGGACCTTAATTTTCATAATCTGGAAAGTTCATACAACAATAGGCCACAACTAGAATGGACTATGATTTGAAAATGGCTAATGCTCAAACATTGTGGTACAATCGTGTAATAATCCTTCACCATTAGTACCAAGCACAAGCTAATGAAATGGCATCCCAACAATGTTACCAGCCAAAATGGTGTTCTCTGTTGCATAGTGTGCCTTTTGCATGATTTCCCTTCTGCAGAGAGTCACCCTAAGGCCCATTATCCTATACACCACATAATCCTACACAACAAACATGTTTTTCTATCGCGATGGTTTTCAGGCAAACTCGTGTGCACCTTGACTAATTCATTGGATACCTGCTACCTCCAATCGACACATGCCCCAGGTAACTCTATCCACTCAGATGAGAAAAAATCACCTAGAGTTTATTTTTGATAGGATTTCACCCACTTCTCCATACGGAGAAAAGACCCAAAATAGTCCAGTATCTTTGGACTTTAACTCAAATTAGTCCTATTTCTGTCGCATGGAGCACTAATAGTCCATATTCTTTAATAAAGTGGCACACTTTTACTCTACATGTTTGATATGAAAAAAAATATTTTTCGATTTTCTCATATTTGGTTGGCTTAAATGTTTTGGAAAATATTTTTCTCGTGAACTCATTTTCCTCCAATTGGAGGAAAATATTTTTCCTGTCAAGAGAAGGAAAAATAATTTCCAAAACTTTTTTTCAACTTTCCACACCCTTTTCTTCAAACTTTTCTTCACTGTTTACATTTTCTAGCCATATACATAGATTATACATTTATTATACATAATTATACACAAATAATACATAAATTATACATATATTATACCTCCACCGACTATTTTTAGTCTAAGCAATTAGGTAGGCAGCTATTTGGGTTAATTCTTCTTTTTATGATGTAGAAAAAGTATTTTCTTTCATTTCTATAAAATGATGTAGAAAAATGTATTTTCTTTTCATGATATAGAAAAAGTATTTTCTTTCATTTTAACAAAATGAGTACTTTTTCATGTTGTAGAAAGAGCACTTTCTTTTTCAACCAAAAAAAAAAGTGTTTTCTTTTTACTTGTGTAACACAAATTTCAACATTGTTTTTGCGAGAAAAGGTAAAGCAACACATTAGTCATTTTGGTTTGTGTAAAGTTTTAAAAGAATAATTAAATTCTTGAAAAAAACAGAGTCTTGAAAACGTTGGGTAATTCGGATTGGGGTTGGGGGAGGGGGGAAGGGGAGCACGGGAAACATGGGGATTTGGGAGAAGGGGGAGAGGTAAGAAAAGTAGCATAAAAAAATTTCTAAAAAATATTTTTTACTCTCTAAAGAAACACTAGAAAAAAATTCCGGAAAAAGTTTTTCATTCACCAACCAAACAAGGAAAAATATGAATAGGAAGGGAGAGAGGGGATCTCCCTGCCTCTCAAACCTCTTTGTGGTGAGAAGAAACCAACTGGGCTTCTGTTGACTATGATCGAATACTTGACCGTGGAGATATTAAATTTGATCCACTTGATCCACCTGTTGCCAAACCCTATCTGTCTGAGTATTGAGATAAGATACACCCAATTTAATTGATCAAAGGCATTCTCTATGTCCAACTTACATAGAATGCCTGGTCCTCCCCTCTTTAGTTGCCAGTCCAGGACTTCATTAGCAATCAAAGAGACATCAGTGATTTGCCTATTCTTTATGAATGCATTTTGCTGATTTGAGACTAGCTTCTCCATCAATGACTTGAGCCTTTCTGCTAGAATTTTTGCCGCGATTTTATAGATACTTCCAATGAGGCTAATTGGTCTGTAGTCTTCGAGTTCCATGGTTCCTTTTTTCTTAGGGATCAGAGCGATAAAGGAAGCATTGCATGACCTCACCATCCAACAATGATCATGATAATGGTTTAGTGCTCCCATGATGTCTGCCTTAATAAAATCCCATGATTTGTGATAAAATGCCATTGTGTATCCATCAGGGCCAGGTGCCTTGTCGGGACAACATGACTGTATAGCTGCTAGAACTTCTTCCTCCTCAAAGATTGCCTCTAGGTTGAGACTTTCTTCTTCTGTGATACTGGCCATGCCTTCAAAGGTGACAGTAGGTCTCCAGTCCTTATGCTCAGTGTAAAGCCCCTCATAGAAATCCAGTATCTCCTTTTTAATATGATCTTTGTCCTCAATAATTTCTTCTCCCACCTGAAGTCTATCAATACTGTTGTACCTCCTATTGGAATTTCCAATCTTTTGGAAGTACTTGGTATTCCTATCCCCATCTTTAAGCCAAAGACACCTTGATTTTTGCCTCCAAGAGACCTCTTCTGCACTTGCTAGCTGCTGCAATTCTGTTTTCAAAGTCATCATGTGAGTGATCTGTTGTTGTGTGAGATTCCTCCTCTCTTGTTCCTGTTCAAGTGCTAGGAGCTCAGTCTAAGCTCTAGTTCTTTTGGTTTCCAATTTCCCAAACTCTTCCTTGTTCCAGGTAGTAATATCTTTCTTTAAGGTTTTCAGCTTCTGCATGAGTATGAAATCTGCACTACCAGTGAAAGAATAGCTCTGCCACCACCCTTTCAATTTCTCCACAAACCCTTCTGATTGCAGCCACATATTTTCAAATTTGAAATATGAAGGGCTAACATCCCAATCACCACTTTCCAGCATGATTGGTTTGTGATCAGAGATCACTCTGGGAAGTATTTGTTGCTTCACTACTTTGAAGGATTCATTCCATTCAGGGGAGATGAGGAACCTATCAATTCTTGAAGCTTGAATGCAGTTCTCTCCTCTGGTCCAAGTGTAACAGGTCCAAGTGTAACAGGCTCCTTGAAGTGGCAAATCTATTAAACACAGGTCTTGTATGGTTTCAGAGAATACTCTCATAGCCCTGGATCTCCTTGTGCAATTGAGTCTTTCTCTTTCAAATCTGCAAACGTTGAAATCCCCCCAAGCACCCAGTGACCCTCCCATAGAACCCTTACACCTGCAATTTCATGCCACATGACCTCCCGTTCTAGGTTGGTATGAGGCCCATATATACCTGTAAAGCACCATCTGAACTCCTCCTGAGTACTCTCTAAAATGCAAGAGATGGAGAAGGAACCTTGCATATTCTCAATGTTATTCCATTGTCTTCTATCCCATACCACTATAATCCCGCCCCTGTTACCGCTAGCTTTCAACTCAGCCCACTCGGCCCATCTATTTCCCCATAATTTGTAAACTTCACCTGTTGGCCAGTCTTCAATTTTGGTTTCTTGTAAACACATGACATCAACCTTCCATTTACTAACCAGAGACTTGATAGTACTCCTTTTCCTACTGTCATTCGCCCCCTGCACATTCCAGCTTAGAATTTTTAATTTCATCCAGAAACAAAGCGATAATGCCTGCCCTTAACCCCTTTTAACTGTTGTTTCTTTCTATCGTAATTCACCCCACATATTAGTCTCTTTCTTTCCCCTTCCCCTTTGCATTTGCCCTCCTTCCCCAACTTGGATGATGACTTTTGTTGTTGTAGCTGAGATTGTCTTCTCTGTTCCATCCTTAGAACTAGACCCAACAAATCATGCTCGAATCCCTGTGCATTGATCCCAAATGCTTTGCATGCCTTACCCATTGTAATCTTAGTCCATTTCGAAGTTTCAACAACTGTCTATCCTCTGCATACTCGTTTCTCCTTCGTACCATGTTAATGGAAGAACTGCAGAAATTGATTGAGAGGAAAAATTTGAATCTGAGTTACTCATCAAAGCCAGCTCCCTGTGTGGCGATGGCTGACGACGCAATTGAGGAGAAAATTTTGTTGGATCTTCTTCGTCATCAGCTTCTGTAGAGCAGGTCCCTGTGCTTTGTTCTGGGAAAGCAACTGGGAGGTGATTAGGTTCTGGAATATGTAAAATATCGATGGAGTTAGTGCATGGCTCAACTGATAATTTATCAAAATTATTAGTGATTGGGCTGGTTTTCGGCCCAACTACCCGCCAGATCTGCTTCTCCTTTAAAAGGTTGGCCTCCTTCACTAGGGTTTTCCTCTTTGGGCCTGTCTTATAATAACTCCTGTCCATATTCTAGCCCAAGTTTTGGCCCAAAATTTGTGGGCCAGATTTAAGATTTGCCTTGTGTGTAATAACCAACGGTTTAACAGGTGATTTAATTTTTGAATTAAAGTTGTTTTGCTGCATGCCCACGTGCGTACTAGGGTTGGCAGGAACGTGTCTAGATGTACCTGCTTCGTCATACCCTTTTCCCATCAACTCGTCGGAGTCACCTTTTCTGGTTGGACTAGGCTTGACGTGAATATCATCAAGAATTGAAACTTCAAAGTTCCAATCTCCCAAAGACAGATCTACCTTCGCCGGAAGTTTATCCTGATTCCTCATGCAAATACGGGCCCAAAAAAGATGAACTTTGTGCTTTGTATCCTCGTCGATTCCCACAAATCCACCACATTTTTCTCCGATGGTCTTAAAAGTGCTTTCCGACCATGCATGAAGAGGGATACCAAAGGCTTTGACCCATCTAAGTTCTGAAACTATATTTTGCGGCTGCACGCCGGTCATCGGGGACCATCAGTCCAAGGATAATCTTCTGCCATTCCAGAACCATTCTCCTGCCTTGATTCTGACAGCTTCTTGTCTTGAGGGAAAGTCGAACAGGAACTGATTGTGATTCATGGAGGTGATTTTAAGACCAGCAGTAACCTTCCATCTCTTCACAAACCATTCTTGGATCACTACTGGGTTTGGGCTCTTACTGAGGGCATCATTGAAACATCCGACAAGACATTTCGAGAGAAAGTGTTCATTCTCAGTCGCCCCATCTGCTAGACCTTTTGTTTCCTGGGTGGTTGGCCATTGCGTGATCTTCGCAGCTTCCATGTATGTCCTGGACTGATCTGTCGCAAGCTGGAACCTTGGGTTTGAAGCCTTGCCCAGAGATCTTAAAATTTTATCTGCAATGTCCCCCCATCCCTTGTTGTAGTCATTTTCAGGGATTATTATTGCAGATTTCCTTCCCCCTAGAATGGTTTCGATTCGCAAGAACCTCCCGTAGATGTTGAAATTTTGAATTACTCTGAATGTATAGGCTTGTATCCTTCTGCACCATCTTCTGCATCTATTTCCAGTGCTAAGCGTTGCTTCTTTCAAAGCTTCGCAAACCCATCGCAAGTTACTTTCATCGATTTTGATGCTGCTTGTAAATCTTCTATTGCGCTCATAGAAAATAAACCATCTATCATAATCCTCGCTAATATCTCTTAACTCGAAGGACTTATCCACCGAGATAAAAAGTATTCTCCAATCCATTAAGGAGTGTACATTTTTACTGTATTGATTCAACTTCTATAAGCACGAACTTGCTACATTTTGGTGAATAGGAATTTTCCACATTTATTCATGTAAACTGCGATTGCAATAATCACAAAAAGGAGGTTCTTGTTCTAGGCCCAAAATATAAAACTAGAAATTCCAAGTAACTCATTAGGTATGCATGCCATAGTCCAAAGAATAGACTAACTTTATAAACTAACTTACAAGAATGTCAAACATTAAGTGGGCGTTTGGGCATAAGAATTGTAAAATTCCGGAAAAAAGTGAAAAAAAAATTCAAGTGAAAATGGTATTTGAAAACTAGAGTTGTGTTTGAACATGAATGTAATTTTGGGTTGTTTTTATAGTTTTGTGAGTGATCTGAGTGAAAATTTGAAAAACAGCTTTTTGGAGTTTTTCAAATTTTCGAAAAATTCCAAAATCCATCTTCAAGTGAAAATTTGAAAATTTATGACCAAACACTGATTTCGGAAAAAAGTGAAATTTTTCTTATGTCCAAACGGGCTCTAAATGTTCAGACTTTTGAAACTGCAGTTGGACTCAAATAGGTTCCCTTTTCCTCATCTCTTGTTCTTTTGTTCGCCAATCTCTCTTCGTCGCTCACCCCCATCCCTCTGAAGCATTAACCCACTTTGTAAACCAATTTACCAGAATGCCAACCATTATTCATTTAGTCTTTTTGAGAGCTTATATGATTGGCAAACTGATAGTACAAGTGCAATTGATGACATCTATACTTGCATCGTCATAAAAAATGGATGCTAAAGGAAAGAGCTCTTACACGATAGTCCTGGGACTCTTGGCTCGAACGATGCTTGGAAATTAGCTCTAGGTCCTGCGAAGAGAAAACTGCAGGGTTGCGACCTGCAGCACTGCATGCAGGAAAGAACTTCTGACTGTTCCACCAATAGGTAAGCCACGGTAAGTAATGAGCAACGCGAAGTGTCCATTGGTCTTGAGGAAGCCGAAGGTTGAATGCTTCTTGCGACAAATTGGCGGGGAACCTAGGCCACCAGTAGTTGACGACTGGTGCAATAAGAGCCGCGCCTGCCAATCTATTACAAGAAACGGAACCTGATTCTTGAATCTTGATATTTATTTTAAATTACTTAATAAAACAAAAAAAAATCATATAAGAAAAATCTTAAATTTCTGTTCCTGACAAAAGGAGTTGAGATCCCAGAAAAAATTTCAAGCTTCTCTTCTACAACAACTAATGAATCTACACAAATTCCATATGACGTCTAACGCTCTTCTAACGTACATAAAATGAAAATGAGATTACCTATAAGGTATGTATCTGAGACAGGTCCAAACAGCCTGTCCCCCCATTGAATATCCCATAACATAGAATTTGGATCCTAGACCTAATTGATCGGCAAGCTCCTGTACATCAAACGCCAAGCTCTTGACTGTGCGTTTTGGATTAGGATCACTTTCTCCATAACCAGGTCTGTCAAAGGAAACAATGTACACTCCTAAACTTTCAATAACATCCTGCAAAAGAAGATTTCTTTTTTCAAAAAACAGAGTTGGTCCGTAAAAGAATACGAGCAAAAGGATCAAGTGACATTTACTTGAGAGAGGGTGCCGGTAATTGGGACATCATGTCGGCAACAATCGTACCCATGGATATACACAATCTTATACTTCGCGTTCTCTTTAGGTACACCAATCTCCTTGTAAGCCAAGTGTCTTCCGTCACTAAGTTTGATCCTAGGTGCAGTGACAGAAGGACCATCGGGGGACCCACAGGTCTTCGGGGGAGGCGGCCGTGTTGCCTGATAAGCCCATGCCAAGAGCCCCGTCAAAACAACCAGAAGAATTTTCCCAAACATCCCTGAAATGTTCTCATTTGAGTTGCAAGATAATCCCAAAAATCAAATAACTTTGAAGCACAAAATAACAGAGCAATCTCATTCCAGGATCTAATAATAATAACAAAAGAATGGAGATTGTGTAGAGAAACATTTGCACACTCAAGCAACCTAAATCAAGTTAAACCGAAATTTCCGCTTCTAAGAGAAGACAAATTGGTTCTATTTACAGTTTAAACTTGTATAAACAAAATGATATAACCAATTCCAAGATTGATAAAGAGCATCTCATTTAATACAAGTCGAACAAAAAAAGGAAATTTTGTATAGAAGCATTTGTAAACTCAAGCAACTTAAGGCAAGTTAAATAAAAATCTTGCAATTCTAACTAAAAACCAATTTAAACCGAACTTGTATAACTAATAAGTAAGATATATCCAATTCCAAATATTGATTTAGGTTATATACACTGACAATGTAAAGATCTTTTTAAACCATCAGTAAATTTTAACATTGTGATAGCAGGTTAATTACCATTTTTACCAAGATAACGTTAATGCATATCAAGAAATTTCGACCTGATTGTGTAAATAGTTTTTATAATATCGGTGCATAGAATGTAAACTCAACCAAGACTCACCGAAAGGACCCATTATCTATAGTAATAGGTGTGCATGTGAAAGCAAATCAAAATCATAACTTTCACACTAAATGTAATAAAGTTATCAACTTTACATAATTAAGATTCAATTCATCACTATATCGTTTATTACGGTGTAAAGATCTTTCTACACTATCAGTAATTTAACCTATCATAGCACGCTGTTACTATTTTTACCAAGATACCAACATCAAGATAACACGTGATTACTTGATAAATGACTTGATTGTGTAAATATTTTTTACATCCTTAGCGCATAGGCGTGCATGCCCCAATAAACTCATTCAGATGTGAGAGAAGATCAAAATCAAAACTTTCCACCAAATGTAACAAAGTTATCAAGTTTACATAATAAAGATTCAGTTATTCATCACTATATATTCTAACATATGATAAAATTGAAAATTCATACCAAAAAAAAGAAAGAAAAAAAAACAAAAGAAAGAAACCCAAAATCAAAAGTTTCTCCACCAAATATAACAAAGTTATGAACTTTACATAATCAAGATTCAGTTTTTTATCACTATATATTCTACATATGATACATTTGAAAATTCATATTACCAAAAAAAAAAAAGAAAAGAGAGGAAAAAGAAAAACGAAAACCCACCTGAAGAAAGAGGGAAAGACGTTTTTTGTTTAGCTTTACGAGTGTGAGCTCTGGCTGAAGCTGCTGAAATTTTCCTTGTAACCCCAGCTGCCATTTTTTCTTTTTTTTTCTTTTTTAATCACTTGTAAATTCTTGATTTTGAATTTACTAGCTCTGTATTGTTGTAAAGTGTAGATTTATTCACAGATTTAAACTCAATTCAGACACAAAAGAAGACAGAGCGATCTGAGTCTGAGCTCTCTGATCTAATAATAGTTGCACTTTTGAACATATCGATGGTAAGGACAACCTTTGACCCAAGCATCTTTTATTTCCTTTTTTTAACTCTTTCCCTTTTCTGTTTTTTTTTTTTTTTTTTTTTTTTTTTTTTGGTAAAAAGAAATTCTTATTACACCGGAGGTTAGTGAAAATAGTATTTACACCTACTATGTGGAAAATTCTTACCATAATCAGATAGCACTAGATTATAAGATTTGATCCTCTCTTTTTTTGGGTTCCTAATTAATTTTTTAATATGTATAAAAGCTTTTTATTATTACTCTCTCTATTTTATTTTATATGTCTTAGTTAGACTGACTATGAGGTTTAATAATGTAAAGAAGAATTTTGAATCTTCGAATGAGAATGTTGGAATTATAAACTTACTGAGTATAGAAAGAGGCATTATTTTTTTTAAAAATAAAGGCTAAAAAGAAAAGTAAAACACATAAATTAAGGTGGATGTATTATTATTATTATACCTTCTCTGTTCCCAAAATATATATAATTCAAATTGAAAGTTGATAATCGGCTTAATGTATGCATATTTTGATATATATCGCCTCACATTTTGCTCATGTCTCGACGATTTGAGATGTTTAATATGATTATTTGTGCTACATTTTGGTATTTCTATGTGTAGGGATCATTCGGATGCAATTTGGGATGAAAGGGCGCGAATTAGAGCGAAATCGGGACAAAATCGCAAAAAGTGAGATTTGAGGGCCACAGCCAGCGTGGGGCGCTGGCTGTGGCGCAATTTACAGCAGCTAAAATATTTGAGCGCCAGGGCCAGCGCCCCACGCTGCCCTGGACGCTCAAAAACATGAACATGTCCTATTTCGACCGGGACTCGGTTATTTCGACCCCAAGATGCCCACAACTCATATAAAAAGCCAACCTAAACCTATTTTAAAAGGAGGAGGACGTTTTTGAGAAAGAAAACACAAGCACAGAGCCGCCGTGGAGGCCGAAATTTATCAAGTTCCATCTTTCTTTCACCAAACTTAATAATTTTTATGTTTCTTTGTATGATTTGTTGTTTGGCTACCATGTCTATGTGGAGCTAAACTTCACGTTCTAGGGTTGTGGTTCTTTCATGACTATTGTTATTCGGATATTGATTTTGACTTCTTGATTTATCATATTGGTTTATTTATTCATTCTTGCGCTTAATTATTTAATTTCTTGATCACCAATTGAATACTATCTATGAATCTAGAATTGAACTCGAAAGTGGGAATTCTAGATTGCATATAGGATTGAGTAGAGCAAGTTCTTGAACTCGGACATCGGGGAACGAATTCGTGGTTAGGATAGACATATACCTAATTGCCTCGCTTGGTTAATTTACAGGAATTATAAATGCGTTCTTGTTGATTCTAACTCCATAGACATATAGGCGTTAGGTTAGCTTGAATAGGCGAGTAAGAACTCGACAGATTCTTATGAGCAATATTAACCCTGTCAACCAATAAGCTAGATAAATTAGTCGGTCAATTCAATTTAAGAATACAATAGGATTGTTAGAAGCCCATAACCCTGAATCGTTTTCATTACATTGATATCATAAATAATCTGCTCTTTCTCTGTTCAAAGTTCATTGTTTATATTTTTTTATTTAATTAGTTTAGAATAAAATATTTTTAGGTTTAATTCTTGTTTAGATAATTAGGATAGTCTAATTTAGTTAATAGTTAATCACAAGTCCTCGTGGGTTCGACATCCGACTTTTAGTCACTTTATTACTTGACGACCGCGTATACTTGCGTGTGCGTTTGGCTGCAATAAGTTTTTGGCGCCGTTGTCGGGGACTTAGAAATTAACTATTTTTCTACATTAGGCTTTTACTTTTATCATTACAAGTTTTTTTTCCTTCTCTTTTTGTAAATATTTTATTTTTATAACTATTTGATTTTTCTCTTAGTGTGTTTCTAGTTCTTTCACCATGACATGTGGGGATGAAATATATGGAGGTAAGGTTATTGATGAATAATCTTGGTTGACGGAAGACTTATATGGACCGTTATTTTGGGCTTGTCATGACCTGAACTCTTGGAAATCTGAATTTGAATATGGGAGTAAGGGTTGGTATTAGGACGAATATTCTCGATTAAGGGAATATGCGAAAAGACGTTGTCTTCTGACAACGTTTGTGAATGATTGGTCTAAGGAGAGAGATGATCTTGCACATAAAATTGATAATTTTGGCTTGGCTGTGCATAACTTGGATGCAAATTTGAATAAAAAAGTTGATGCGTGTAATGGCCAACAATTTAATGATGAGTTGTGTGAAGCTAAAAAAAATCTTCTAGACCAAATTGAGGAGCTAAAACGAGAATATCAATCATTAGACCATGTTTTTCTTGAGGATGCCAATGCTGAGAAGAATGCTCTAGAGTCATATGAGGGAATAGATAACATTACTTTGGGAGACTTGAGTGTGTGTATATATGGGGATGTAAACAGTAGTACAATTCATGAGTTA